TTACGGTGGCTTTTTAGGGCCACAAATACCATTGTAGAAAACTTCAAAACTTCCTTTGTAGAGACTTCCATTCTAGTAACTTTCGTTCTAACCCTGACTGCAATCTAGCTAGCTAGCTAGCAAGCTAAAGTTCTAGCTGGCGGGATAGCTGAGGTAGTGTTGCGGCGTCATGAAAGCTGTCATTACTCAGTTCGCCTCGGCATGATTCATGGGTTATAGGTTTCATCCATCTTTTTTTCGCCATCCCAAAGGCTACACAATGAAAACTGAATGTACACTTGTAGCTCAATGTTCCATAAGTTAGATAGTGCTGTGTTGGTCCTGAGATCTACCTGTTGGGACAAGGTTTCAGAATGTTGTTTTTAGTATTTCCAACTTCCATTTTGAGCTCACTTCCATTCTGAACCAACTTCCAAGTTCAATTCTGTTCAATTGTAAGCTAAGCTGAAACACCTTGTTTGCTCCAGAGACCTTAGAGGGAAAGCTGCTTTTTTATGCTGTTTGTGGTACATGCCTTTGCCTGAAGTCACAGTATATTATTGTTAGCCATAATATGCCACCAAAAGCGAATCCGGTGGAGTTTTCCCAACATCAATGAACATGAAGTCAGTGATCTGTATACTGTCAGTTTTTGCAACGCTATAGAGATATTCAGTGCATCTTTACAGTACTAGCCTTGTTCCCAGGCTCTCTCTCCACTCTCTGCAAACCATGAATGACCTTTAACCCATGAATCGTGCCGAGGCGAACAGAGTAATGAGAGCATTCAACACTACCTCAGCTATCCCGCAAGCTAGAACTTTTAGCTAGCTTTTTAGCAGGGAGGGTTAGAACGGAAGTTACTAGAATGGAAGTCTCTACAACGGAAGGTTTGAAGTTTTCTACGATGGTATTTGTGGCCCTAAAAAGCCACCGTACCATATTGACTGACATTTCTTGCTCACTCTAATTTTGCGTATTACAGAAAAATTGAAATGTGTATTGCGTGATACAAAGATCGAACACTAACCATAAAAAGCACTGAAGTGCAAACCCTCGGCGCACTGTTACGCGCACGCGTAAGTAAACGCATGCGCCGTACCACTTGATGGGCTGGGTTTAGTTTTAGCTGTTACTCGTGGTCTCTTGCCAGCTCGCGCAGAGTCTGACGCGGGCTAACTACACTACTAGATAGCATGCGAGAGGCGATACACGCCCTGCGTTGCATCTTCTGGTACCTCCGAGGTACGCAGAGCACGCGGATCGATCATGCCGCAGTAAGCCGTTTGGCTTTTTCGCGCTCTAGCTTTGCAACGGAGCGTTTTCAGCGAAAACCGTTCGAAATTTCTGACCTTCATTGCCCGTTCAGTAGGTGGTATCCTTTGTGAGACAAACGAACACTCGAGAAGTGAGATGACGAGTAACAGACAGACACACAGACACACAAACCCAATGAAGTGCAAACCCTCGGCGAACTGGGCATGCGCGGTACCGCTAATTGATGGGCTGGGCTGCTATTAATATGTAGTATACTCGTGGCCTCCCGCTAGTAGCGTCTGACACTGGCTAGCTACAGTAGACAGCATGTGGGAGTCGATACACGCCCTTCGTTGTGACTTCTCTTGCCTTCAAGATACACAGAGCAGGCGGACCCGAGCCTGTTCAAAATATAAGCGCATGCGCCTTTTCCGCAGCGATAAAAATGGCCGACTAGCATTAGCCGTACAATGGCGGAAGCGCTCTAGCTTTGCAACGAAGCATTTTCAGAGAAAACCGTTCGAAATTTCTGACCCTCATTGCCCGTTAGGTAGGTCGTATCATTTGTGAGACGAACAGACATTCGAGAAGTGAGATTGAGAGTAACAGACAGACACACACACAGACTAGACAAACCCAACTACAGTACCCTCGCTGCGCATGCGCGCCGAGGGTAACTACAGTAACCCTCGCTGCGCATGCGCGCCGAGGGTTAACAAGATATCGATGTAAGACTCTGCAATGCCATGGTCAAAACTGGAATAACATTATGCGACATCTCAAGGTTGGCCGTTCTGCAATTGCTATTCTCCGATAACAGTACTAAAGACATATTTGGATTCCATCAAAACATTTTATTCCATTGAGATTTTAAGGGTGAGCGTACACCAGGTCCATCACATACAGATATCATAGCAATTACCTTGACTGAAGTAAAAATGACAAAGGAGCTTCATTTCACCATGTCCGTGTTGGTTGCAATGGCAGTGATTGCTTTTTCTGCTGATCTCAACGACTTTGTTGAATGTGGGCATGTCGACAGTTCCTGCAAGTGTGATGCTGAGGCTACTGTGTGCATATTTCAGTTGTATGTGGAGTATGTGTTTACCTTCACTATGTACTATTTTACACTCAGGCACAGGATGAGCTGCTGGACATTGATGGCAAAGGTGTTTAGCTACTCGAAATCGGGGTAGATGCATTGGAGATTTCGTAAAACAAACAGGAAGTGGATCGTCAGATATTTTATACTGCAATGAAGAAAGTGTGAAAGGAAGATGGCTGTTGTCATGAAAGAAGCAGTCAGATAAATTTACCCTCCCCCTGAAGGGATGGAAAGTTGTGACCCATTTATCTGATAGGCGCATGCCAAAAATGCACTTTATAGTAGCTACCTCTCTCTGCAGTACATACTGCAATGCAGAGTGACTAAGTGCAAACTTGGCACAGCCTGTGCCCTGCTAATTGGTGGGCCAGCTGCTAGGGAACCCAGGCCTTCCCCATTATAAACGTAGTGTATAGTAGCCAATACACTTGAGCATGCACGGAATAATTTGTGCATGGGCGATTTTCTACCGTAAAGGTGTCTTGCGGACCAGTCCATCACCGTCATTGTGTGAACTCTCATAATTATCACGGTGAAACGATGTACCAAGTTTCATTGTTAGAGGATCCACCATAAGCAAGTTATAGGCACAAACATCATTTACAAGTGGTTTTTGAGACACACTTGTCTAAATTGAACAACAACAATGAGAAGAAATTTGAAAACTGACTTCTTTGAATAAATCAAGTACCAATGATGCAAATTAAGCCATTTTTTTGGATATATGCTCTTTGTGTTGGTACGGATCAGTCTGACGTATCAAAAGTTGGATCTGATTGAAACTGAAAGTGAAACATGGAAATCTCAAATGTGTATGGGCATAATGAAGGATGACCTTTGTCTTCCCTATATACTAAGTAGCTACGACCGTACTTAGTGATTTCCTCAACTTCAACCTTCAACTCAACTCAAATCTTTGTGTTGGTAAAGGAGTATTGGTACACTCCTGTTTATTTGAAAGAAATTCCTTGGACAAGAACCAAATGCAGTCATTTTGTAGTAAGTATTGTGGCTTGCTTATAATGTAGAGCTGCATTTGTCCAATTAGGGCTATTAATTACAAAATGCGGAGGTGATCAATCATACAATTACCAGGGATAATAGAGTCATGTCGTTAATGCAGCACTCTTGTTAAGTTAACTTGGCATAATGGCAATGCACACTCGCAAAATAATGTCTGCTAATGAGCATGCACCCACTGCCAAAAATAGTAGCTACCTCTCTCTGCAGCAGCTACATACTGCAATGCAGAGTGGACTAAGGTGCAACAAACTTGGCAGCAGCGCGTTCCCCGCTAACTGGTGGGCCAGCTGCTAGCCTTGGCCTTCCCATTATCAATGCAGCTAATACACGTGAGCATGCGCAGAATAATTTGTGCGTGGGCGATTGTCTCGCGACGATACCAGCCCATCACGGTATAGCGTCGGTAGATATATGGCACGAGTGAAATCTCACGTGATATGCGTACAAAACCTCGTTGAGAATGACTCCCTAGGCCTTCAAAACACACTAGCAATAGTCTACGGGCCCATATCTACCTATACATGTTCCCAAATACCTCACTCATACGCACCTTCAGTTCTCCACGCCAGACTTCGCTCATACGCGACTTCGTGTCATCATCATCATAAATTCTTCTTCTTCTTCTTCTTCTTCAATCCCGCTATCTCCTTACCAGAACCAGTTGAAGCGCTGATCTTTTCACTGAACGTCTCCATTTTCGCCGGAGGTGTGCACGGACATCAAGCGACCGTTTCTTTCCTGCTGTAAGTCACTACGGTAGATGATGGAGCTCTTCCATGGTCGACACTGAACAACGTCATTTGCTGCCAACTCAGCATCAGTAAGCCGCGCGCATGCGCTATGCAGAGGCGTTGTCGAGCTGTGCGCGCGTATTGTTACCAGGCGAGTTGACAGACCTGCAGAGGAACTCCTTAGCCTCCAGTGCCTTCTGTGTGTCAGTGTGCACATTTCCAACTGGCTAGCTTGCGTTTTGCTGTTGATTTACACGGTTGGCAGAGTCAGCGCGGTGTTACGCGAGCATTGCCAGGTGCAAAAAAGGGGCCTTCATTTGTCCCCCCTAGGTTGGAGCCCTGATTACCAAAGCCTACCACAACCGTGTGCCATAACCTAATTACATCCTTGTTGAAGACAATGCCTGAGGTGAATATGGTATCTAGCTAGCTCCTGCTTGAGGCACTAGCAGCCCATTAGCTACAGCTTTCAACAATTAGAGTTTGTCCTTGGTAACCCTATCTACAACATACCTATGAACATCAGAGTGACTGTAACAATAAAATACAGTGTTGTCGTGAGCTATTAAAAATAGTGGAAACAAGTGGAAAAATCATTTCTTCCAAATGAAAGGGGGATATAGGGATGGCTTGAAGCACCAAAAAGGAAGAAACAAGGGGTCATTACACAGCTAAGATGCACAAAGCTACATGACACCATCCCTATATCTTTGTTCGATATTAAAAAGTTAACTTTCCACAAAACAAAGATATAGGGATGGTGTCATGTAGCTTTGTGCATCTTAGCTGTGTAATGACCCCTTGTTTCTTCCTTTTTGGTGCTTCAAGCCATCCCTATATCCCCCTTTCATTTGGAAGAAATGATTATTCCACTTGTAGTACTTGGTTCGTAAGTGTATCTGTCTGTCCGTCAGTCTGTTACCACGTTTTCTGCGACTACGCGCAACGAGATAACAAAATAGCGATACCAAGTGATTTCCTCAACTTCAACCTTCAACTCAACTCAAATCTTTGTGTTGGTAAAGGAGTATTGGTACACTCCTCTTTACTTGAAAGAAATTCCTTGGACAAGAACCAAATGCAGTTATTTTGTAGTAAGTATTGTGGCTTGCTTATAATGTAGAGCTGCATAATTTGTCCAGTTAGGGCTATTAATTACAAAATGCGGAGGTGATCAATCATACAATTACCAAGAATACCATAGTTGTGTCGTTAATGCAGTACTCTTGTTGAGTGAGCCCATCTTTCGACTTGGCATAAGGGCAATGCACACTCGCAAACATCATGTACGGAGGTTACTTCGCTCGTCATACGCAGATGCATTGTGTATGCATTCCAGTACATTACTTAGACATATCTACTACTATACCTAGCCCGTGTCAGACTCTCCGCTAGCTACCAGCGGGATACCACGAGTAAAGACATACAAAGCCCAGCCCATCCATTTAGTGCTACCGCACATGCGCAGTTCGCCGAGGCACTTTCATTTAAAAGTGGTTTTTGAGATAACTTGTCTAAACTGAACAACAACAACGAGAAGAAATTTGAAAACTGACTTCTTCGAATAAATCAAGTACCGATTATGCAAATTAAGCCATTTTTTTTGGATACATGCTCTTTGTGTTGGTACGGATCAGTCTGACGTATCAAAAGTTGGATCTGATTGAAACTGAAAGTGAAACATGGAAATCTCAAATGTATGGGCATAATGAAGGATGACCTTTGTCTTCCCTATATACTAAGTAGCTACGACCGTACTTAGTGATTTCCTCAACTTCAACCTTCAACTCAACTCAAATCTTTGTGTTGGTAAAGGAGTATTGGTACATTCCTGTTTATTTGAAAGAAATTCCTTGGACAAGAACCAAATGCAGTCATTTTGTAGTAAGTATTGTGGCTTGCTTATAATGTAGAGCTGCATTTGTCCAATTAGGGCTATTAATTACAAAATGCGGAGGTGATCAATCATACAATTACCAGGGATACTAGAGTCATGTCGTTAATGCAGTACTCTTGTTGAGTGAGCCCATCTTTCGACTTGGCATAAGGGCAATGCACACTCGCAAACATCATGTACGGAGGTTACTTCGCTCGTCATACGCAGATGCATTGTGTACGCATTCCAGTACATTACTTAGACATTTACTAATGCAATCCACATTCCTGTCCATAGCTTCACATGTTCCCTTACACTTACAGCCTCCCTTCATGGTGGTTTCATGTACCTAGCTGTAGACAATATCACATCTCAATCAGTTGCCTAAAGCAATCGTCCATATCCAGTATAGCTGTGCTGTAGCTACATGACACACTAAGTATACAATACATCACTAAGTACGATAGTACTTACGTAGTACAAGTGGAAAAATAATTTCTTCAAACTGAAGGGGGATGTAGGGACGGCGTAAATTACGAAAAAGTATAGCTACCAACAAGAAAGATGCTTCAGCTGAAAACAAAAATTGTCCATTCCTACATCTTTCTTTACTCAGCTCTGTCTAAGAATGTGTAGGCACTTGTTATTGGCGTAGGTATACTAAATCATAACAAATCACAGTTGAGGTTGTGAGTTAAAGAAAGATGTAGGGATGGATGTATGATCAGAAGGGGTCAGTCGGCACTTGGATGTGGCGGTCAGAGCTTTGATGTTGCTTTCATCTACCCTTTACAAAACTGGTGGCTATTTATGCTAAATGCATAGGTCTCAACTATCCCAAATTAGGCGGGAGTGTACCGATTTTCACAGCATTGTCCCGCCAATCACCTTGCTTGTTCCGATTTCTAGGTCGTACTCGCGCGGTAGTGAAAAAAACCAACAGTTTGCAGCAGAGCAACGAATCATGGACAACTACTGGACTCTGGTACTCTTTAGCACTGCGTATAATATGTCAGTGTACTGTTGCTTCAAATATAGACTCGTAACCGGCGAGCGATCGCGGGTAAATACTAGTGAGCAGCTCCTGAACTGGACCATACGCGCATGTGCACTAGGTTGTTTGCGCGTATGTCCCGATATTGAGCAATTATTAATATTCATAGTCCCACCAACTCCTTCTGCAAGGTTGAGACCTATGTAAATGTCTACTCCAGGTGTGGTAGGAAACAGCATTTACAAGGATGAGGAAAAAGATGTGACTGACACAAAGCTATACACAGCAACGACACACAAAGCTACATGACACCATCCCTAATAATATTTTGAGGTATATAGCTATATAACTATGCGGCATTACTTGAGTTCAAACTACCCACTCATCCTAATAATTACTGCAGGACTCTAACCTCCTGACATCAACATTGCACTGCTTGTATCATTCCTAGATTTGAACAAAATTAATGTGGTTTGAAAAATTTTGCTCTCTTTCCTAAACTGAAATGAAAAACAAAATATGTACTTTGGATCTTTTACAACATTCATTGACTGTATATAAGAACTCATTAAAACTCTTTTGGCGCGCGCGCGGTTACGCAATTATTACGCGCGCCGCCACGGGTGTCCGCGCGCGCATACACGCGCGTGCGGATTCTTCGCAGTAAGCAGTCCTGTGGACACGTGTAGTACTCTAGTTAGCGCTCTACCAGTCTCTCAGCCTGCTGTGATGATTCACTGACAAGCTTACCTGCCGAAGAGTCGTGAAGACTGTGATCCAAAGCAAGGAGACCAGGCCCCTGGAAGCGGTAGGCCTTTCAATAAATGATATAGACTCATACTTCAACATGTAACTCTAAGGGGACTACAGGTAATGCAGGGGTTACATATTATTGCTACAGGTAACGTTGTGGGTCTACTTTTGTGTGGTACAGTTCAAAGCACGGCACCACACACATCGGGAGCTGGCACTGTTTGCAGCAGAACGTTGTTGTTTTCCTCCCTCTGCCCTTAGGCTTGCTGCAGACCGTGCAGTCCTGCTGGATCTGCTTTCCTGTCGCTGTCTTCCCGAGCTGGCCAGGAAAATGTCGTTCGTGCAGGCGAGACTGAGGATTGCGTACCTCTTGTCTGTGTCCACGTTACGAAGAAGAGGGAGAAGTGGGTGGGGCCTGTGACGGGCTGTTAGCAGCAGCAAGGAGGTCTTTAGCTAGCTCGATTCTGAACTGCTCGTGTGTCAGAGTGCGACCTTGTTGATGTTGTTGCTGGCGGTATAACGTGTAGCTGTTGACTACGGCTGCATCAAAAAGAAAGAAAAAGGCACGCTTCCACCACTTGCGGGTACGGTGGGGATAGCCGTAGTAAGTCAACAGCTGGTCCCCACGGTCGACACCACCCATGTACTTGTTGTACTCGACCACCGCCTGGGGCTTCTCCACTGTTTCCCGCCAACCAGGAGGACGTCTCGATCGTCGCTCCACTGGAACAGGCGCGTCGTCGTGAATTGTGGACAGGACAGATACGACTCGTTTGTCATGCCACTGCACCACACTCATCCCTTCGTCTACAGGAACAAGACGCCTCTCTCCTTTCTCCAACCTCATCTTCGCCTCCGCAGGAACTCCACGTCGAGTCAGTCGCAGAGTTCTACATGCTCCGAATCCAAGTGACCGGAGGCGCAAGAAGAGTGCTGGAGACGTGTAAAAGTTGTCCATGTAAATGTGGTGACCCAGACCGCTGATTGGCTCCACTAGACGCAGTACTACTGCGGCAGTCATCCCCAGAGGATCGCCGAGTGAGTCGTCCTTTCCTAGAGTATGAATAAGACATTCATTATATGTGATGGTTGTGTCTGTATTAGTTTACCTGTGTACAGAATCCAGTTGTACATGTAGCCTGTGGTGGAATCGGCTAGTACATAGGCCTTCAAACCCCACTTTGTTGGCTTCTTAGGCATGTACTGTATGAATGTGAGCCTTCCCTTGAAGCCGATCATCGTTTCGTCCACACAGATCTCCTTCGCGAGCGTGTAGCACTGCTGGAAGTGGGCAATGAGGGGCACAAGGAAAGGGCGGAGCTTGAACAGAGGATCGTGACCAGGTTCTCCCCTTTTCTTGTAGTTCCGGTTGTCGTTTAGGTGAAGGAATCGGAGGATGAGGGTGAACCGGTCTCTCTTCATGATCTGTGGGAGATTGAGACAAAACTTGAAGTTTGCTCATGTGTACATTTTATATCTGTACATAGGGTTGTGTGCTGCACTTACACTGGAGCAGTGAGTATTGGTGAATGGCCAGAGGACTGCCCAGTGGCTCTCAATCTGAGGGTACCTCACAAGGCCCATGAGGATGATGATGGCGAAGAATCTCCTCAGCTCGTTTACGTCAAATAGACTCTTGGACCAGCGTCGAATTCTGGAGTGTGGAGGGATGTCATTGTTGTCAATGTACTGCTGCGCATGGAGGTTGGTCTGTGTGACTGTGTTTTGCAGCATGTCTTCTGTGACGAGCAGTGAGAAGAAGTCAATTGGTCTGTTTCCTTCCACAGGAACCGCACAACCAGACTGGAGTGTGTACTCCGGGAGTGTGTCGCCATCATCACTGCTACTCTGTGAACCCACCTCTACATTAGCCCCGACCTCCATCTGTTCCTCCACAACTGGCTGCACATCTTCTGTTCTCTCTCTAGTGTCTACATACCCGTCAAAGTCATCCTCACTATCACTTTCGTACTCTTCATTTCCATCTAGTTCACCGAGAACATCTTCAACTGAGAGGGTTGCTCTAGTAGCCATTGCTTCCAGGAGCACAGGGGAGGGGCTAGATATGGAGAACACTCGCAGGAAAACGGGGGAGAGGCTGGTCGTAGAGACGCGCGCGTATCCGTCTGTCTTTGCGCACATTATGAATATTCAGCAGCTGTAAAAGCAGCCGCCCACTTCCGCTCGCGCGTTTTAGCGTGAAAAACTATGAGGTAATGCAAGGGGTGTGTCGTCCGTTGGCAGACGAAGAGATCAGGAGCCAGAAAGAGGTGAGTAGCGAGAGAAATAGTCGGTAATGTGGAGCGCTCGCGCTCCTGACAAAACGGGCATATATCTATATGCCTTCCGGGGAGAAGGCTTATGCGCGCGCCCGCATTATACAATGCCTGCCGCGCCAAGAGAGTTTTAAACATGGTTGCCATAAGCATTGTTGGAAATTTTTACAGCCATGCAGGATAGTTATGTCTTCTCTGTTTGTTCCTTTATCAAACTTCTGGAGTTGAGCAGTTAGAGAAAAGGAGGATGGACGTAACGTGTAGTAGGCATGCGAGTTACTATAATATATTATTGGGTGGATGAAAGTCCATAAGTTCGAAGGTATGTGTTAAAGTATTGTGTGTTATTTGAGAGACAAAGTACATGTAGTTTGAACACTTAACCAGCCACGTACACATATTAATGTGTCGGCAGCCTACATAAGTCAATAATTTATATGGGGGGTTTAATACTAGGCGAGGGGTTTCCTTGGAGACGTACCTCGAGTGGTAGCTAGTTTCTAGCTCTGCTTTCGAAAGTTTTTTTGCTTGAAGTTGTTATCTTCTGCTACTTCTGTTGGTGTTTG